TAGTGGAAGTCTTCGGCAAGTGGCGCGTCGTCACTGTGCGCGAAGATTTCGGGTAGCAGCACGTGGAAAACGACTGCTGGTCGAGCAGCCAGGCGCAATGTGTGATTTGCGTCGGAAAAACCGACGGCGAGGAGAGGCGGCGTGGCGACTGCCCGAAGAAAGCCGGGGTCTACCGTCGTCCCGCCCGGGTGCAGCAGGTGTTGCTGCAGGAGGGTGCGTCGTGGGCGTTTTTCGGCAGAGCGGCACAGTGTGGGACGGAAGTTGTTCTTCAAACCACCGAAAAGTTCGGAAAAGGCCGCCTACGACCAGACTGTTCCGGCTTGGGTGACTACTGTTTCTGGCACAATGTTTATCGGCGAAAATTTCGGAGCAACAGTGGCAGCCGATTCTGTACTTCACGCGGCACAGTTCCCTCCGGCCAGAGGTACCTGTGTTTGCAGACAGCCCAGTACACCACGGAACAACGATTCGGCGCAGCGTTTAGACCCGCGAATTTTCGGGGGTTCTACCGGCTACAATAAACGGAGTTGCCACTAATACGGGTCCGGCGAGAGAAACGGGTTCCGACTTCAGGAGGCGAGAAAAACGACCTACAGCGACGACTTTTGCTGAGGCCGAGTCTCACGGCTAAGCGGCGGTAGCAGAAGGAGCTCCCTACCGGCCAAGTCTACCGACGTTCCACATACCTCACACCAGAAAAGCCTTGAAGGCAATTCGTAAGTTCTGTTGGCTACTGGATAAAAAGGTGGGGCCCTGTGTTTTAGCCCTGTGCTGGTTAGAAAGGCGTGGGTGGCGCTAGTTCGACGGCAGGGCGTTCAAGAAAATCTTCAAGCGACACTGTTTTCGGCCCCGACAAAACCGGACCATCGGCAACGTTTTCCCTTGCCGAAAAAGTCGGGACTGAAAAAATTGTGGCAGCTGGCGGTGTTTCTCCCGATTCAACGGTCTACCCAAGGGCGGTGTAGCGGCGAAGATGGAGTTCCCGAAGCTGTGGATTTTTAAGTGCGATAGGCACGGTGGGCAGCGAAGCGGCCGGGCGGGCGTTTGATACGATAAACTCACCCCGACTACGATTGTGTTCGCGCCTTCATCGAACGCCAGAAAAATCGCGGGTCAACACGAAGAAGGTCTCATCCGACAAAAGCGGACGCTGGGTGAACGGCGGCATGCGAAATTGTCGGGGGGCGAAAGCGAAAAAAAAAAAAAAAAAAAAAAAAAAAAAAAAAAAGGAGGGAAAGTTGTGGGTGCCGTTTCAAGCTACTTGAGTGATAGGCGGAGCCCGTACACCACTCCACCGCGAATTTCGGAGTCTATTCGGTAGACCCCCGAAAGGGTTTGATATCGTTACATGGAGGCGCGGCGAGGGGTGTATTGCCAAGGATGCCTGGGATTTGCTAAGTATTCCCGACAGGTGTGAAGATGGGTGAACGTCGGAGCACCAGGGTTAACGGCGGAAATGTCGGGGCTACAAGGCAGAAAATACTTCGGGGCTTGATCCCTCAACCATGATTTTCGGGTGCAACTTCGACGGTGGGAGACGGGTGAACGTCTACTCGCCAGCTGTTTAAGCGTTCCTCGGTGTACTTCGAAGCAGTCTGGGGGAGTTCTACTGCTAGATCTGCGGCGACGATGCGCGCTAGGGTCCGTGAAAATCGGTCTCGGGAGACCCATAAGTACTGGGTTCCACGCCAAAAAAGCACCTCCTGTTGGTGGGTCGCTTGGGTGGTTAACCGCACGAAAAAAATGGTAACCGGGTGGGCGCGATAGAAACACCGGTTCTTTCGGGGGACAACCTGCAGACGACCAAGACTTTACGTGGGGTGGAAATTTCCGACATTTACGGGCGCAACGAGCAGTTCCGAAAAGAGTTTTTAACGGAGTCAGCGGGGTCGCTGACAGTATCCGTGCCGACGGCTGACTGCAGCGTCGCTTGATTAAGCGCGTGAAGGCCATCATCGTCAAATGTGTAGCCGTACAAATCGGAAGCTGCTCGGGGGTACCAGCCGCAACACGAGGGAAAATTTTGCAACAGGTGGAGGGAGAAGGCGACAGCTGTTTTCGCCCCTGCCCGGAGGTTTTCGGCGAGTCACGACAACACCGACAATGCAGCTGACGTCATCGACAGTTCGAGTTCAACTTTGAAAACATATTTGCGAGGTCAGGGGGGAGAGCAGCAGCTATTTTTCGCCTCTGCCCGGTACTTCTCGGCAAATATCGACAAAAGCCTCGGCGAGTCTGGACAAGACTGCCAGGGGCGCTGACAGCTGGAGAAGCTACAGAGAGGATTTTCGACACTGCAACAAGACAAACTGCAGCAATTTCAGGACTGCAGTAGCTGACAACTGAAGATACTGCGGCAGCAGGGTGATTCGGTGCTGCCACGCGGAGATATTTGGGTGGCGGTCTTTTCCAAGAGGGGGGAGAAAGTGCTCTCGCACTGTACTTGTCAGTTTTTTCTGACTTTTCGTCTGACAGATTCAGCACGACGGACGCTCGCGATCACATCAACGACATCGACGGGTCCTGCTTCATCGACTTCTAACAACGCGTCAGCATATCCGCCCACGACGTGTTCATCTTGACCGTCCGACAGAGATCCACCACATCGATGGTTCTTATTCATCAACGGCTTTTCAACTCGACATTCGAATTCAACCGCCCGATCGTTATCGGCAGTATCAACGGCTGACATTCCAACTCTTTGAATTTCGCCTGGTCAACGCGTTCAGCCACGCGTCAACTTCACAGTCAACGACGTCTACACCGTCAGATCCGTTTCAACCGAGGTCTGCAGTTTTCACGCTACTGCAAGACTCGGCTCTGTATAAGGGGGCCTTATCTAGAAGGTGGGAGAGTGTAATGAATATGCAATTCATTACTCTAGAGGCTGCTCCTAGCGAGGACAGCCCGAGCACTTCGCGTCAGGATGGCTCGTCCTACACTTTCGCACCGAGCCAATTCCGAGTCGCCCCGCACCAATCGCGACATTTCCGAGCCACGCACATCTAGAGGTTCTCGCCTAGCTAGTTTTCGCCCTATATATTCTCGCTTTCTTCATTGTTTCGTCATTCTGTAATCACGTCTTCTTTATAAAGTCTTCCGCGCACTCTGTCTAGTAAAACTCATAACACGTTCACTCAATTGCACTTGTAACAATAGTATATATAAGATCGCTTGATTCGCGTTGACTGTGTTGAAGCCGCCAAACCTCGATTGCTTGGAGGGAGCTGCGCCAACCTTTTGCTCCCCCAAGCTCCGTCTCTCCCATGACCCCCTGCCCCCTCCCAACCCTTCCCCATCACCAGCTTCCCCCCAGTTTACTTGCGTACAAGGCGGTGAGGCCACACTCGGCAGTGCGGTTGGGATGCCCAGCGAGGCGAGCGCATCCGCGCTGGCCTGCTGGTTTCCTTGCCAGCAGAACACCTTCTCGCTGCTCCATAGGCTCGCATTACACTCCTCTCTTGCACATGCTGTCGCAATTTGCCAGATGTCACTGACGCAGCATGCTTCACGAATCACGACATGCTTTGCCCTCTCGACCAGCCATGGTTATTTAAAGGGAAATTATATGGGTATTCACAACTCGACACGATTTTTCACATTTTTGTTTTAAGGTATCACAAACAGCCACAGGACACCTCATATTTATCGCGTGTGATCAGAGTGCTATCATGGATAGTCATACCTTGCCCTTCAGATCTATCACGTTTGGTCACAGATGAAGCGCCCAGTCGAGAACTGTAACTACTCGACTCACTGTAGGGATTCAGGGGAAATTTTATCCCGCGCGCCGTTTTGTCCGTAGTATCACGAAAAGTTTCGTGACAACTCTCGGTAACTCGTGAAAAACATTGCTCCTTAGAATATCACTTTTAGATGGGTGACCTCGGTTGATTTTTGCTCCCAGTACAAAAACTAAAACCCGTTCGGATGGGATATAATTCGGGAGCATCAACCCTAAACACCTTGTCCCATAGTGTTTAGGGTTGATGCCTCCCGAACAACGTGCCATCCAGTAGGGGTTTTAATGTTTTCTTCAATTCCCTAAATTTCAGGGCTAGAATAATGCGCGGGGTAGCAAGCAATCAAGGTTAGGATTCCCTAAACTTTCTACTGTTTCTTTCTTGGTTTCAAATTAACTATGATCGCTTCATCGAGTGACCAAACGTGATAGCTTTTTCGGGGGGAGGTGTGACCATCCGTGATAGCACTGTGATTATCCGCGATAGGAATCTACTGTACTGTGACTGTTTCTGATACCCCTGTGGTCAAACGTGTTAAAACGGGCATAATTGTGACCTCCTATATACTTTCCCTTGTTTAAGACGACGACGACCGGCACGCACCAGCGCGAGCCCGGCAAAGACTTCCCTTTTCCGCGCATCCCGCTCCGCGCCCAGCGGATGCGTCCTGCCCTACGCGCGTGCTGCTGCTGCTGATGCGATGCGAATCACCGCCAGCGCCAGCGCCAGCCACTCACGGCACGCTGTCACCTCACCTGCATTTTCTCTCGTCCTCGCTCGTCTTGGCGACACTGCAGCGCTACGATGCCAATGACGACAGGAGGTCTAACTTGCAAGAGAGCCGCCAGGCCTGTTGGTAGATTGGAGAAAGCCTACTTACAGACCGCTATTGAGCTCACAAGAGGCATAAGAAAGCGAGAGCTGGCCGTCAAATCCGTTTTTGCGAGTCCGTTTTCATCTTCAAGTCACCAGGCCGTTCCATCGCGCTACGATTGTGGTCAACGCGTATTACAAGTCTAAGAATGCGATAATCCCTCCCTCCGGTCCGAACGAACGAGTTTCCCAAATCGCCGTTTTAGACGTTTCAAGATTAGACCGAGAGTGACTGCACATTCTGGTGGTCGCAAAAGCTGAGTGACCCACCCCATCTTGACACCGTGCCGAGCGACTTGGCGAGCGACACTATCAGTCACCAGCGTTTCATCGCGGAGTCCCAGAGCCGTCGCACGCTGGTAGCGTAGCAAGAAAGGACCTAACATGATGACGACACACGTCCGCATCCGTTCAGTCTTACTAGGAAAGGCGGCAGTTGCAAACCCGGCCGTCATTTCCCTCAGCCGCAGTATCGCGCTCATTTTCTTGATCACCGTCGCCGCAATCTCCGGAGTTTGCTCCGCTCCGCCTCCTCTTTCCGCTTCGAATCCGCGCGAACGGCCTTCCGCGTCGCCGCGCCTCCGGCGGAGCCTCCGACCCCGCCTCCCCTCCGCGGCCCATGCGGAATTCTCTTCTCCCCTCACCGCCGCGCAAGCCGCGCCTTGCGGAGCTGCTGCTGTTGCGACAACCAGACGCGCTACTTTGAGCGGCGGCGATTTCCGTCGCGACGAGTCACTGGACGCGCTGCGACGACGTAGGCGACTGGGCGGCAAAGTCGACGGGTGGAATCTGTCGCTGAGGCAGTACGCGCTGGCGGCGAATCGCACGCGTCGCAGGGACCCGCTGAACGGGATGCGCGTGTACGAGGGCGGCTACGACCCCGCCAACCTGCACTACTGGGCCGTGCGTCCCCTTGCCACGCCTTTTATCAAGCCTCACCACCACACCGCACCACGCTACACCACACCACGCATGTCTTTTTTAGTTATCTCCTCAGCGGCTCACGAGACTGGCTTTGACTGATTCGTTGTTCCTTTCGACAGCCCCTACAACCAGAGTGAAGGTATGATGGCATGCTGCTACTAGCGGGTGTACTGCTCTCAGTCGCACCGCACCCTGTGTTGTACTGCGACTAGCAGGTTCCGGTAGCTCTCCCCCTTCGCTCGCCGGGGCCCCTCCTCTCTTCCTCTTCCGCCCCCTCTTCCCACTCTCCCCTCCCCACGTCCCTTCCCCTCACCCACTCCCCCTCCCCCTCCCCCTCCCCCTCCGCTTCCCCCTCCCTTTCCCCCTTCCTCCGCCAGTCCCTGGGTGTGACAGCGGGGTTCGGGCCGGTGATAGCGCTGCTGTGGCTGCTACTAGGGCTGGGCTTCATAGGCGGCTCGTGCTGCTGCTGCTGCTGCTGCCCGCGCCGCTGGGCGCGCTTGAGGGACCTCACCCGTCGCCCCTACTCGCGCGCACACCTCAAACTGCCCGGCATCGGCCTTGCCGTTGGCTCCCTGCTGCTGCTGTGAGTGTGCAGTGTGCACCATGCACATGCCATGCAACACAACACAGGCCACGCAGCAGAGCGTTGCATGCACGCCTTGGGTTGGAATTTGCACCGCTGTTGGTTGGCTTATTGCTTTCGCAGCTGCACAAGCAGCTGTTGCGCCTTGCGCCCTCTTCCCTCGCCGCTCCCCGTACCCACACCCCACCCCTCTCCACCTCTCTTTATCCCCGCCGGTGCTACAGGGGCGGGTTTGCAGTGATGCTGGCGGGGGCCATACTGCTGCAGAAGAGCATGGGGATGGTGAGGGACGGAGCAGTGGAGCGAGTGGGGGCAGTGGTGAAAACGGTATACAATGTCTCCCAGGCCATGGCGGGGCTTACAGTGGTGGACGTTGATGGTAAACAGATGCCTGGTACGTGCCCTGGGTGCCCGTGCTCCGTGCTGCGGTGTAGAGCGGTGCAAAGTGTGCTGTGCGGTGTGTCTAGCGGTGGAGAGGTGCGCGGAGCTGTGGAGAGCTGCGTGTGGTGCTGGCAGGTGAGGAGAGAGGGGTTGAGGTAGATGATATGTCATGATGTTGCAGCTGCTCAGAAGCATGAAGCAAGGAAGGTGGAGGCAAGGAAGGTGGAGGCCCGAGGAGTTCTTTTTCAATGTGCTCCCTCTTCCTTTCATCATCGCGCTCAGGCCCATCTACTCCTCCCTCCCTCCCTCCCTCCCTCCCTCCCTCCCTCCCTCCCTCCCTCCCTCCCTCCCTCCCTCCCTCCCTCCCTCCCTCCCTCCCTCCCTCCCTCCCTCCCTCCCTCCCTCCCTCCCTCCCTCCCTCCTCCCTCCCCCCTCTCCACTGTATCATCCCTACAGACAGGGCGGGCGTGCTACAGCGAGCGAAGTACGCGTGGTCGATAGCGGACGGCATGCAAAGCTCGTTCAACGCCGGCCGCGACACGGCAGACCGTGCCATCAAATACATGTACGTGCCGCACATACACACGCGTGCACAGCGGGGATGGGCGGAGGGAGGGGGAGGGGGAGGGGGAGGGTTTGGGGGGTTGTGTGGCTGTGAGGCGTCATGGCCTGAAGCATCCATGGATGGGCCGCCCACCGGCTCATATGCACGTGATCGCCAACCGCACCCACCCTGCCTCCTCTCACCCCACCCCCCATGTCCCGCTTGCCCCATATGCCTCTCATCCCTCTCGCCCCATGTGTGTGTGCATCAGGTTCATGTCCCTCTTTGCCATGGGAGCTGTCATCACAGCACTGGGCGTGGTTGGCGTGGGTGAGTGCTCCGTTGCCCCTCCACGTGTATAAACGGTATATTTGAGACGTCTCAAAAGTAGGCGTGGGTGAGTGCTACGTTGCCCCTCCGTCACACCCACCTGTCGTACCACTCGCAATTGCAGTTCGCTTTCAGTTGGATTGAATCATTGCCTATTGCTCTTTCATTCAACCCCTGCTGCTTGCCTCAACCGCTCCCTCCATTCCCTCGTTCTCTCCCCTTTCCGCTCCTCTCTTTGTTCCCCTTCTTGCTGCGCCTTTTCCTGGTGCCCTGCTTCGCCTCTATCAACGTCCTTGCCTCTTCACTTCCGTCGTTCCAACCCACCCTCTCCCCCGCTGCCCGGGTTTCCCAATGCGCTGTCC